TCCTGTAATAATTGAGAGGCAGGTGGGATAATAATGGAACAAGGTTGGCTGTCCATGGGCAAAGGGGAGAGCTTATATGAATAATAAACTAAAGCAAAAAAAAAAAAAGGGCTCAAGTAATTAGGGTACCTAATTAGCAAGTATGAGGCTGAATGCAAACCCCAGTGTCACACACACACACCACCTAAAGTTAAAAGGTGCTGGTGGCTCACACCTGTAATCCTAGCTACTCAGGAGGCTGAGATCTGGGGATTGTGATTCAAAACCAGCCTGGGCAGGAAAGTCCTTGAAGATGCTTATCTCCAATTAACCACCAGAAAACTGGAAGGGGCACTGTGGCTTAAATGGAAGAGACCTAGCCTTGAGCTGAAGAATTGAGGGACAGTTCCCAGGCCCAGAGTTCAGCCCCATAACTGACAAAAAAAAAAAGCAAAAGCATGCATCTAAGCTGGGCAGCAATGATTTACCCCATAATTCTAGCTACTCAGGAGTGTGAGATCTGGAGTATCATAGTTCAAAACCAGTAGGGCAGAAAAGTCCAAAGGAGTCTGAAACTGTAATTCACCAGCAAAATGTCAGACTAGAGGCATGGCTCAAGTAGTAGCCTTGTAAAAAAGCCAATAGAGAGTACCACACCCCAAGTTCAAGCCCCAGAACCAAATAAAATAATAAAAGCACATGGAGCCTGCCATTGGACTGGATATAGTAGCACAAGTAACAATAGTACCAGCTGTTTTTTTTTTTTTTGGCGGGGGTCCGGTTGTGGGGCCTGAACTCTAGGCCTGAGTACTGTCCCTTAGCTCTTCAGCTTAAGGCTAGCACTCTACCACTTGAGCCACAGTGCCACTTCCGGCTTTTTTCCTTTTGCTTACGTGGTGCTGAGGAATCGAACCCAGGGCCTCATGCATGCAAGGCAAGCGCTCTACCACTGAGCCCCCTTCCCAATCCAACAATAGTACCAGCTGTGAGCAGAAAAGAGGTGGGAGAAACTTAAATTCTGTTTCTATCAGGACCTAGCTGCCTTCCAAAACTGAAATTTCTGCTGCAGATTTAAATGAGAATATTTTGGGAGTTTCAGGTTAATGCTTAGAGATGCAGATACAACTGATTTTTGTATTGACTTCAGGTCCTACAACTTTGCTTAACTTACTCATTAGTTATAGCAGATTTTTCCTTTCTTTTTTTTGGGGGGTGGAGAGGAAAATCTTTAGAGTGAATCCAAGTTGTTTTGGTGTTGAGTTGCAAGGATAGACAGGCACTATACCAACTTTAACTATGCCACTAACTCTTTAACTCTTTGTTTTTTTGAATAGGGTTGCTTTTTGCCCAGCCCAGCCAAAACAGCTTCCAGTATAGCTGAAAGGCATGTGTCACTACATCCACCTTTTTATTGATTGAGAGAGGAGGGTCTCACAAATGTTTTTTGTCTAGGCTGGCCTCAAGTCATGATCCTTTTAATCTTCACTTCTCCAGAAGCTAGGATTAGAAATGTATGTGCTACTATTCCACAATACTGTGAAATTTATTTTTTTTTGGTCGTTTGTGGGGCCTGAACTCTGGGTCTGGGCGCTGTCCCTCAGCTCTTCAGCTCAAGGCTAGCACTCTACCACTTGAGCACAGCGCCACTTCTGGCTTTTTTTTTCTTTTTTTCTTATGTGGTGCTGAGGAATCAAACCCAGGGCCTCATGCATGCAAGGCAAGCGCTCTACCACTGAGCCACCTTCCCAGCCCCAATACTGTGAAATTTATGTAATCACTTAATCACAATAAAAAAAATTTGCAAAAAAAAAAAAGAAAGAAATGTGCTAAGGCTAGGAGGTGGCTCAGTGGTAGAGTGCTTGCCTTGAGCTGAAGGATAGTTCCTAGGCCCACAGTTCAAGCCCCATGACTGATAAAAAAAAGAAAAAGAAAAAAAAAAAAAAGAAATGCATATCCTACCCATGCCTGGCTTAGTGTGGATTCAGATTTTAAAGCAGTAAATGGAGAATACTTTGGGACACACATTTCACAAAAGACAAAGACTAGAAGATGACACACACTAAACTCTCTTAAAGAACAAGATCTAGGACTGGGAGGTTGGCTCAGTGGTAGAGTGCCTGCCTTGCATGCATGAGGCCCTGGGTTCGATTCCTCAGAACCACATAAGTAGAGCAAGCCAGAAGTGGTACTATGGCTCAAGAGGTAAAATGCTAGCTTTAAGCTAAAGAGCTGAGAGACAGTGCCAGGGCCCAGAGTTCAAGCCCCACGACTGCCAAAAAAAAAAAAAACCAAGATCTAATTCTTTCATAATTATGAGCTGGTGGTTCTCACCTGTAATTCTAGCCCTCAGAAGGCAGAGGCAAGAGAATCAAGAGTTGAACACAGCCTGAGTTACACAACACCCTATACTTCATAACATAAAAGAATTGAGAGCCGGGCGCTGGTGGCTCACGCCTGTAATCCTAGCTACTCAGGAGGCTGAGATCTGAGGATCATGGTTCAAAGCCAGACCGGGCAGGAGAGACCGTGAGACTCCTATGTCCAATAAACCACCAGAAAACCGGAAGTGGCTGTAGCTCAAGTGGTAGAGCGCCTGCCTTGAGCTGAAGAGCTGAGGGACAGCGCCCAGGCCCAGAGTTCAAGCCCCACGACCCACAAAAAAAAAAAAAAAAAAAAGAATTGAGGACCATTTAGTCCATTTGGTTTTCTGCTCAGATCTCAGCCTCTTGAGTAGCTAGGATTACAAGTGTGAGCCATTATTTCTGCATTCTTAGATTTTCCTCACCTTCCAAAGGTGGGCACTGGTGGTTCATGCCTGTAATCCTAGTCAGGAAACAGATCTGAGGATCTCAGTTCAAAGCCAGCCCAGGCAGGAATGTCCATGAGACTCCTATCTCCAATTAACCACCAGAAAACTGGAAGTAGAGCTATAGCTCAAAATGGTAGTATGCTAGTCATGAACACAAAAGCAAGGACATCGCCTAAACCAAGTTCAAGTCCCACGACCTACAAAAACAAACTATTTCACACTATAATCATGTATAAAAAAATAAAATTTGGGGGCTGGGAAGGTGGCTCAGTGGTAGAGCGTTTGCCTTGCATGCATGAGGCCCTGGGTTCAATTCCTCAGCACCACATATGCAGAAAAAGCCAGAAGTGGTGCTGTGGCTCAAGTGGTAGAGCGCTAGCCTTGAGCTGAACAGCTCAGGTATAGAGCCCAGGCCTAACTGAACCAAAAAAAAAGAAAGAAATCAGAAAAAGAAGGCTGAGGAAAAAGAAGGCTGAGAATGTGGTAGAGTGCTTGCCTAGCATGCATGAAACCCTGAGTTCAATTTCTCAATATTACATAAACAGAAAAAGCTAGGGCTGGGAAGGTGGCTCAGTGGTAGAGCACTTTCCTTGCATGCATGAGGCCCTGGGTTCCATTCCTCAGCACCACATAAGCAAAAAGAAAAAAGCCGGAAGTGGCGCTGTGGCTCAGGTGGTAGAGCATTAGCCTTGAGCTGAAGAGTTGAGGGACAGCGCCCAGGCCCAGAGTTCAGGCTCCACCACCCGGACTCAAAAAAAAAAAAAAAAAGAAAGAAAAAGAAAAAGCCAGAAGTGGTGCTGTGGCTCAAGTGGTAGAGTCCTAACCTTGAGCAAAAGAAGCTCTGGGACAGTGCCCAGGTCCTGAGTTCAAGCCCCAGGACTGACAAAAAAAAAAAATTGAAGATACCTGTACACAGAATGTGGTAAGTGTTGTCTAGGAAGCACCACAGAAAGTAACTCTCTTCATAATACAACACAACTCACAATGCCACTCTAAGGAAAAATCAATGAGGAGACACAATGTTAATTCTGAAATTGAAGTTCTCAAATGATCCTGAGGGTGGTTTGACAATCACTTGCTTCTCATGAATCTACTAGGAAACAAACCAAAAAGTGGTAAGGCACACAAAGGCTAAAAAACTCAGCTAACTGTAAATATACTGTGTAATGTCAATTGGGATGTACATCCTGAGAAAACCGATTTAAAAAAAAAAGTCCCTGTACAATCAAAAGGATGAGTTATCAGACCTGTTGTATCGAAAATAGAACTTGTATTCTAGAATATAAGAGTGATTCCACACTCCGAAAAATTCAGTGTCTGAGTGACAACATGCCTTTCCATGCAATTACATTTTCTTCCCCTTCGGGATCTTTTACTAATCCTGCTTGTACACAGCCGACTCACCCAGCAAGAAAACACGGCTGACCAGTGGAAGGAGTTCCACGCAGCGCTGACAGAATACTCTCCAGGTTCGCATAATATCTCCCTGAAGCAACCAAGTTTAATGCTCACATTGTGTAAAGAACCGCGATGCTCCCCAACTACGTGAGAGTCTGAGGTGGGGAAGGAGGCGCGGGAAACCAGCCACGCCGCGCCACCCACGGCGGAAATCCACCAAACAATGGAGTTTTCCCGCCTCCTCAAGGTTCCGCCCCCTGCTCCACAACTGGCTAAAGGGAACCAAACGCTCGCGCGCTAAGCCCCGCCCCGCCCTCTGCGAAGCCCCGCCCCGCCCTCTGCGAAGCCCCGCCCACCCCGGCCCTCCGGCCCGGCCTCCCTCCTCGTGCAGTTTTTTTTTTTTTGGCGCCAAATCTGTTGATTATATTCCCAGCTCTTCTGGGGACTTCCAGAAGGGCCACACTACTAGTGCGCTGACAAGTAGGGACGTCGAGGCACACCGGCACGCCAGGACCCCGCCCCCCATTGGAAGCCCCGGGCCGGGGATGGGAAGGAGAGGGGTAGGCGATGGAGACAGCCGCCGCTGCCCCCGGCAAGATGGCGGCCGCAGAAAGCGGGGCAGGGGGCGCCAGCCGCCCGCCGGAATCGCCAGTGCGCGGGCTCCCCGTGAGCGGCTTCCCCAGCGGCCAAGCCTCCCCAGACGTCGCCAGCGGCTGGCCGGGAGGCAGCCCTCCCACCACCGGACTACCCTTCCCACACAACACCAGCCCTCCCGGACTGGCCGGAGTCTCTAGCCCGCCACAGCCCCGCTTACTTGTCTGCGGAAACCAGCTCCGCGGCGATAGCAGCAGTGGCTGTGGACTCTGTGGCCATCGTTCCCCTGAGGTGGTGGAACGCCGCGCGGGGATAAAGCCTGTGAGGAAACCAGGGAATTTGGGGCGCCAGGGAGCAATTCGGGAAACAGAAAATGGCAGATTGGAGACCCCGCGCGTCTGGAGCCCTCCTATATACCCAAGTCTCGGCCCCGCCCATCCACTTCCGGATCCTCCCCCTCGGATTTAAAGGGACAGGACTCAACCCCCTTTTCTATCCCAAGGACACCTCCCACCATAGTCTCGTTAGTGCCTTCCCGACCTGACCTGCCTTCTTTCAGAACAGCTTCCTGCTTCTATAAGGAGTCTAGTCAGGGAACGAGAATGTTGGTACAACCCCTCACGGGGTGCCAGCCTGCAGCTTCCACGTGAAGCCGGTGCTATTCTGCGAGTGTTCGACGAGTAGCCGAACGCCTTCTCACCCAAGAAAGTGACTCATTTTTCTCTACTTCCTCTCAGTACTAACGTACAGACACGCCAGAGAGCTGCACGAGTGCAGCAGCAACGGCTAGAAACGACCTCCCCGAGAAACGTGGCTCTGGGCCTCCGCAACTAATGACGCAAAAAGTTGCTGGCCTAGGATTGGCTGCAGCTGAAATTACCGCGCTTCATTTAAAGCGCAGTGGGGCGGGGGGAGGGGGCGGAATGCGGTTGGCTTGTCTGTGTGGACTCGCCCCCTTTGTCTGGCCCAATCCACTGGTGTCATCCTGTTAAATCACGCTACCCAGATTCCAATTCTGACTAGTTCTAGCTCCTTTGAAACCAATCCAGGCTTACAATTTGTTAAATATCTATCTATTATGCCCAAGGGTGTGTTTTAAACGCTTTAAAGCTAACGGTTTTTTGTTGTTGTTGTTTTTTGTCGGTCATGGGGCTTGAACTCTAGACCTCCGCGCTGTCCCTCAGCAATTCAGCTAAGGCTAGCGCTCTCACACTTGAGCCACTGCACCACTTCCGGCTTTTTTTCCTGCTTATGTGTGATAAGGAATCGAACCCAGGGCCTCATACACGTAAGGCAAGCACTCTACCACTGAGCCACCTTCCCAGCCCAAAGCTATTGGTGTTGTTTTAGCCCCTTTCCCTCCCCCCAATCCCAGTCCTGTGGCTTGAACTCAGGGCCGAGGCACTGTACCTCAGCTTTTTTTTTTTTTTTTGTCGGTTGTGGGG